CCACAACTGTCCTCCCTTGCAGGCCTGGTTCCTCCCAACTGCCCTCCCTGCTGGCCATCTTATGTCCACATGGGAGCAGCCATCTTGTGTGTTGAAGTTATGGTCAATTTGCATATCACTCTTTTATTAGATAAGATAGAGGCCTGGTGCACAAGTGGTTTGCCCTGAAGGGTGTCTCAGATCAGGAAGGAGGTTCCCTTGGGGCATGGGACAGCCTGGGTGAGGGACCTGTGGTAGTTTGCAGGCTGGCCAAGCCCCCCAGCGACCCAAGTGGTGGCCCTGGTATCTGGGATTTATTTACCTTCTATAATTGAAATTTTATAGCCTTGAGTGGAGGCCTGGGCCCACCAAGATGTATAGAAAGCTTAGCTTCCTCTATCACCAAGGAAACCCAAGCCTCCTCTTTGCTCTGTGGGTTAATTTACATACTCGCTCATGATTGGCTGGTGGGCATGGCTTGTGGGTGTAGCAGTGATGGTTTATTTTCATATTACTCTCTATTAGATAGGATTAGAGAGCTGGTGCATGAAATTTGTGCACTGGAAGAGAGGGGGTCCCTCAACCCAGCCTGCACCCTCTCCAATCTGGGACCTTTCAGGGGATGTCTGACTGCTGGTTTAGGCCAGATACCTCAGTGAAACATTGATTGGCCCAGAGATGATGACTGCCATAGAATCCTGTGGGATTGGGCCTAAACCGGCAGTCAGACATCCCTCTCACAAGCCGGGACTGCTGGCTCCTAATCATTTGCCTGCCTGCCTAATCACCTTCTAACTGCTCCCCTACCAGTCTAATTAACACCTAACTGCTCCCCAACTGTCCTCCCCTACCTATCTGATCTTGCCCCAACTACCCTCCCCTGCTGGCCTGATCACCCCTAACTGCCCTCCCCTGCAGACCTGATCTAGCTCCCAGCTGCCCTCTTCTGCTGGCCAATTTGGTTCTGATTGGTTGGTTTCTATGCCAGTCAGTGTCAAAAGTTCCACCTCCTATGCAGCCATTGGTTCCTCAGAGTTCACCCAGATTTGGTCTGATTGGTTGTTTCTATGCCAGTCAGCATCAAAAGCTCTGCCTCTTAGGCAGCTATTGGCTCCTCACACTTGACCAAGATTTGATCCTTAATGGTCAGTTTCTATGCCAGTCAGCATCTCTGGGCCTATCAATAGGGCCTGATTAGAAAGACAGAGTTGATCAGCAGCAGGCCTGGAGAGAAAGAGAGAGGCAAGTGCTGCTGAACAGCTGCCACAGAGGCTACTGATCAGATCATGCTTCTCTCTTCAGGCCTCTCTCCAGGCCTGATTCGCAGCCCTGTCAGCAGTAAGTGCTAGGTCACCCGGCCTGCAGGCTGTTCCACAGCAACCCAGTGCTGACTGCAGAACTGACTTCCGGTTGATCAATCCTCTGATTGTAATGGACACAGAGTTTTTATATATTAGGGTAGATAAGAAAGAAATCCATTCTCCTCCATATATTTTAGCCTCCTCTGTCTTCCCAAGGCTAAGATGGGAGACTCTTTCAAGTGGCACCTAGTGTTAACCCATAAGCCTTCTCTGCATTGATATTGCCTCTTTACCTAACTATATTTCCCACCAGAATATGAGCAACTTCAGGAACTGTGTCTTTTCCCCGGAGCTAATGCTGTCCTGGTGCACAGTAAGAACACCGGTAACTCTTGGCTAAAATAAATGAATAGCATACTTCTGTATTTCATTGGCTCTGTGACCCTATCAATTATAAGACACTTCAATTGTAATACTACTAAGAAAGAAAAAAATCATAATCAGAAGATATAAGACACATTATAATTTTAGGATTGTGATCACCTTGATTTCACGCCTGGAACAGGGAAGATATTACCTAAAAAGATTAAAGACTAATCAGCATCACTTTGTAAATAGACACATGCACACAGAATTGCACATAAAGAAACTTTCCCTTTTTACTTAGTTCACTTGGCTTCTCTATCTTGAGCTTTACCTCTAAGACCAGATTTGTTTCAAATGTAATTGAATTGCTCTCTTATCTGAACACCAGTTAACTAAAGATGGATAGAGGGACTCGTTTGTCCCTGTTTCTTAGCTATGGTTATGTGCTGAGGCTGAACTCAACAACAAAAAGTGAAAAAAGTATTATTTGTTGCTTCTACTAAGGCAGCTTAAATGATGGGGATCAGTGCATCCAAAAGGGAAATATTTTTTGCCATCAGGCAAGATTATAATAAAAGAAGCTCATTTATCAGCTAATGAGTGGAAACATGTAACAGCAAAATTACTAGGTAGTGAAAAAATGGGACCGGGCTATGGCACTTTTAATCGGATCTCAAAACAGTCCCACACTGTCATCAACAAAACCTTGTCATCAGCAGGATGCAAATGAAAGTTTCCCTGTCCACTTTGTGATACACCATGAAACTAAGATCAAAAAAGTTAAACAAATTAAGAAAAATCAAATGGTAATTATTATTATTATACACAAAAAATACATTTATATATAAATATGTACATATGCACACAATAGAATTTAAATTTGATTGCATAGAAAGTGAGATCGTGTATGAATATGTGATTGGAAATCCTCAAACACCACACAAATAATAATGATCAGTAGAAGCCTGTTATAATTCAGAGGTCAGACTTTTGAATCAAACACACCTGGGCTGCAATCCTGGCTCTATCACATCCCTCCTCTGTGACCTTGAGCATGTCTTATCCTCTCTAAGTGTCAAAGTCCCCATCTGTAAAATGGGAATTATAAGAAAATGTACCTCTGGGAGAGTGTATGTAGAGCACTTAGAAGAATGGCTGGAAAATAGCAAGAGCTCTGTAAATTTTAGTTCCTTGCATTTAACTAAATTAGATGCCCATTTACCATGCCCACATGACCGGTTCTTCCCACACACCCTGGCACTTACTTTGTGGTGTTTTCATTTCATTATTCCCAGTTTGATTTCATCACCCTCTCTATCTAGTCTATACCCCAGAGTCAACCGCTGCATATGCTACGGCATGGGTCCCTTTATCCCCTCCTATCTCACCATCCTACTATTTCTTTTTGTAACTCCTCAGGCTGAGTTTATTTCAGTGGCTGCCTAGCTCCAATGTTCCCAGCTCTAATCCAACCTACATGGCTCTACCTTTTTATCTTCCCAGAATGAAATCCCAAGCATGATGTTTTTCTGTTCAAAATTCTCAGTGTCGCCACTGCCAAATGAATTAACTTTTCACTACAGCACTCAAGACTTTGGGTCTCAATCTACCTTTCCCAGTATTTTTCCAATCTAGCCAATCTAATGTACATATTGCTATATTACATACCCTACATCCAGGATTTTGTTCATACAATTTTCTTTTATTGAAATGTCCTCCCTTCATCTCTGCCTTTAAAAATCCTAACCTTCTCTCTAGACAAATTTCACCTTCTTTACAATGTACCTTCCAGAGCCTCTAACCTCCTTTGAACCATTTATGTGTCTCTCTTTGGGACACTTCTATTTAGCCTTACCTTAGGGCTACTTCTGTCATAAGACTTTTCTAAACTGTCATCTATCCATGGCTTTGCTCATGCCAAGTAGTCAATTAATATGCATATTACCTCGCTATGTTTAATTGGTTATATTTGAGTACACGTATTTACTTTGAGGCCTTGTATCACATATGCCTCTAAAACAAAGATAAAATCAAATCAACTCTCTGTTGTTGTTGCTGTACTTTGCAATGAAGGGTAGGTCCTGAGTTGCTAGAATGTTTACCCAACAGAAAGTCTTCATTCAGTTCATTAAAACTGTACATCATTAGTTCATTTAACATGCAAGAAATATAAACTTGGCCTTGACTTCCACTCAGCTAACTAGAATACTACTAAAATAACTTAAAGAGAAAACTGAACACATTTTTGAGTGGTTCTAGAAAAAATACTACAGTTATAGCAGTATAAGCCCTGCTATAACAGTGGGCTTAGTGAAATTCTCTTAATTAAAAGGTTCATTTAATCCTTTTATATAAGCTTGTAGACTGTCAAATGAAACTGTTTCTTAAATTATGTTTTAACCCTGTCTTCATTGTCTGGCAGTTTCCATTGCTAATTAGGCTTTTTGGATTCAAGTCAGCAAGTCAAACAAACATGACTTGTTAACAAAAAGTATTATTTTCCATTATAATATTTTAGTAATGGATCCTCAAAGACTTCTCAGTTATATAAGTCTAGTCCTAAGTTTTTTTTGCCAGGACTATGACCAAAAATTGCTCAAGAAGTACTTGGTATTTGGAAAAAACATCATTCAAGAAACTCTGCCTTCTTAAATTGGATTACCAAGAACTTTGAAATGATTGTGTAGCTCAATCCAATCAGAATATTTAACAATTAAAATTCAGTAATGCCAAAAAAAGAAAAAAGGTAAATAACTCAAGATGCTGCCTTATAAAAGTAGAACTATATTTTCCAAACAACTTCTTTCTCCTGCCTTTAAGTCTCAGAAAACAATCACAGAAACACTCATATTATGAATAGTTGCATCAGTCAGTTCCTTTGTTTATTGCTCTTTATACACTGAGTGATTATCATTTCCAAATTTGCCCAGATTGCTTTGATATCACCCAATTTATTTTAAATAGAGCAAATTCTTAAATTCTATAATCCAATTCGCACAGTGTTATTTTCATATAAATTCACAGGCCAGTTTTTTTTTTTTAATAAAAGCTTTTCCAGATGATATTACCCCTAATATTTTATTGAAACACTGTCGACTCTGAAGCACCATGGGTAGTTAAACAAAGGTCAAAATTGGTGATTGCTAAGGCCCCAGTGCTTATTGTCCTTGCTTCCCTTCACATCCTGTGAGAACTTTATGAGGCTTTACATACTTCCTCTCACTAGTAAGAGTTCCCCCTCAATGTCTTATTTACTTATAATGTTAAACAACTTTGTTCACTGAAAGCATTCACCAAATTATCAGAACTCTCCTCCAAAGCCATTCCTTCTATAACATTATTGGGAATACTCACCATTGGCATTTCAATAACTGATGGTCTGGGGATAGAAGTCTGAAAAGTAACTACTTCACCGTCCAAATCGCCATCTGGAGACCCAGGCATATCCGCAGAGATCTCAGCAGGCTGGACAGCAGTGTGGTTACTTGAATTCCGATTTGCATTGCCATTTCTGTCTAAATGGGTGCTGGAATCTCGCCTTTTCTCTTCTTCCCCTTTCAGGTGACTTGAGTGTCGACATGCTTTGATCTTGGGCTGATCATAGATGGTGGAATGAGTATCAGGCGCGATGGGCTGATCACAGGGAGCATTCTCCCTCGATTTCCCAAAACAGGCCAGCAGAGCTGAACATGGAAATGGATGCATCCTTCTAGATGGAGATTTCAGTCTTTTGGCGAACCTTGCTTTCCATGTGGACATAACCTGCAGTGAAACATGACAAAGTTCATGCTTTGAAAAGAAAAAGTTCCAAGGGTTCAGATCACCTCCAGTCTCCTTATTGTAAATAACTATTTCCTTGCCTGAAGAGAAGGACTTTGTAGTAGTTGCCCTTAAATAGATTAGAATATGGCAATTCTAATTAGAATATGAGAGTCACTCAGCGGCCGTTGCCCTGCGAAAGCGCTCCTCCTGGACGATTTTGCCAAAGAAAGCTGTCTGTGAGGTACGTGGTTGGCTCAGGTTACAGTCCCCAGGCAGGGCAAACGCTTCGGTGCAAGGCAGTGCCAAGTCAATAGACAGTTGCTTCAGGTTACCTCGGAGGCATAAAGATAATGTAGCCTGATAGTATCCGCTATAATAGCGTCAGCCTGTGTATCAATAACATCATAACAGCCGCATAACCTTCTTCAGTTACCCACTTCAAATATTTATTCCTCCAAACAAAACAACCCCACCCAGATATTATCACAAATGAAGACCCCCCAAGAGGATCCTTGACCTTGGCAGCTATTTCATTATTAAAATGGGAGGCAGACTTGAATCTTTTGTCTGGAGAGATCCAAATTTGGATTTGATGTCACAAGGACTTTTCTGGATCTTTCCTGCATCTTTGCCTCAAACTTCCTGGGTTCAGGATCCACAATTGCCCTGATATGTCTTTGTTAACTTGCTTTTGTACTATCATGCTGAGTCCTTGATTAATTTTCAACAACACCAAAAGAAAAACACAAATAAAATGGGCCCATAAACAATTAACACAGGTATTGTATGTGTGAATGTGTGTTCTGTTCACCTACTGTATGTATTAATTTCCGAAAATAACACCTTTTTGAACATATGTCTTCTACTTTTCAACACATTAATATGTGATTGGTGAAAAATAATAATTATAGCCATATTCTAAGACAGTGCTCAAAATGGGTATTTTTTTTTTCTCCTTAGCCAAACATCTGCTAGGAATGTTAGAGAAATACAATACTATAATGGTTTTACCATTAATAGAGACTTTTAGGTCAAGATTTCAGGGTATATTACTCATTCTAATTTTCTTGGTTGCTCTCTCTTTTAATTTAATATCAAGATGTGCTCTTAACCGACAGTAGGGGGCAGGGACAAGTGCTGAGGGGTGGCTAGGGAGGGGTCAATGGAGGATAAAGGAGACATATGTAATGCTTTCAACAGTAAAGAATTTAATTTTTTTTAAAAAATGTGCTCTTAAGCCCAGACAGGTGGTAGATATTATAGCACTAAATCCTGTGTTACAGACGCAGCAACAGATTCTTTGGAATTTCAGGAAGCAAGGTTAAGCTACTGAGGAGGACCAGTTAAAAGCCCAAGATCCCTCCTACCCTATCTGGTCTTTGAGTCTGGAAATCATCTTATCAACATAACATCTGTACTTATAATATGATTTGAAAAGGCTGTTATATCCATTACACAAGAAGTCACACATGACTTGAGAAAGAGTAAATACAGCATCAAATGCAGGCATTATTTTATTCTTTACCAAAATTTAGAAATAATGTATTAAAAGCTGTCACTTACTTAGAGGATACCGTGTAGCAGCCAATGTGCTACCGGAATTTCCAGTATTGAAAAATCATTCTCCTTCTTTTTTTTGTTTTAAATATATTTTATTGATTTTGTACAGAGAAGAAGGGAGAGAGATAGTTAGAAACATCGATGAGAGCCGAAACCAGTTTGGCTCAGTGGTAGAGCGTCGGCCTGAACTCTGAAAGGTCCCAGGTTCGATTCCGGTCAAGGGCATGTACATTGGTTGCGGGCACATCCCCGGTAGGGAGTGTGCAGGAGGCAGCTGGTCGATGTTTCTCTCTCATTCGACGTTTCTAGCTCTCTATCCCTCTCTCCTCCTCTCTGTAAAAAATCAATAAAATATATTTTTTTTAAAAAATAGAAAGAAAGAAAGAAACATTGATGAGAGAGAGTCATCGATCAGCTGCCTCTTGCACACCCCCTACTGGGGATATGCCCGCAATCAAGGTATATGCCCTTGACAGGAATCAAACCCGGGGCCCTTTAGTCCCCAAGCCAACGCTCTATCCATTGAGCCAAACCAATTTCGGCAATCATTCTCCTTTTAATACCCAAGTATGAGCAGACCTATAGGGCAGCAGGAAGTACAGGCATTTAGCACAAGTGTTCCTAGGGAGCCCTAGAAATTGTATTTGCCTCTTTTCAGCCCTAGTTGCTTTTGTGACCTCAGACTCCATGATGCTTCTCTCATTTGTGCCTTCTCCCATGTCCCCTCCCTCCCAAACATGCTTACAGTAAGGCTATGCTGTAATAAGACTTAATTGAAGAGTTAAGGATGTTAGGAAGGAATTTAAGAGAAGAAAAAATTATTCTTAAGCCTGTTTTCATTAACTCACTCACTTTTTCACTCAACTATGTATCAAACTAAAGGGACGGCAGTTAACAATGCCACTCTCAAGTGGTCACATTTGGTAGACTACTGGGTAAGAAAGCTCCAAGCCCCTCCCTCAGCTCAGCTGTATCTCTCTTCTTTGTGGGTTTTACCTTATCTCCACTAAAGGTCATGCCAGAGGCATTTACCAGAGTGGTGCTCCAGCCCACCATAAATGTGACTCCTCATTTTTGTGTATTTTTTAACTAGTGCAGTTGTAAGTCTTTTTTCTTTCTTTTTTTCTCTTCTTTTCCATTTATTTTTCATTGTTATTTATTTATTTGTTTGTTTGTTTGTTTGTTTGTTTGTTTACAGTGGCCTCTTTTTTGCTAGTGTGGTTGCTAAGTCTCACCTAGAATAATAACATTAGCAAATAATAGTTATTGAGTGTTCATTATCAGGCATGAATCTCAGCAAATTGACTCATTTAATCTGCACAACCTTAGGAGAAAGATGATATTATTAATTCTCATTTTTACTCATTAGAAAAACAGGACACAGAAACTTAAGTAACTTGCCCAAGGTCACAGCAATGGTAAGGAAGAGAACCAGGATTATGAGCACAGGCAACCTGGCCCCAGAGTTCATGCTTTTAACCACTATGCAATATCACTTTACACACACACACTCCAAAGAGAAACTTTCCAAAAACTTTCAATCCAACACTTTGCCTCCAGAAATTTATTCTACAAATATGTATGTGCATAGAGCTATGTCAAAAAATGTTCATAACAGCAGTATTTGGAATTGAAAATTTTATTGTTAATCAGTAGAAGACAAATTAATATATAACAAAACATCTATACCAGCAATTTTCAACCACTGTGCAGCAAGAATTTTTAAAACATGTAATATCTGACTATTTAGTCAGTGGCACTGACCTCTTTTCCCTTAGACTGTCAAATAAAGCAAATGACATCAGCACAACAATAGCTGCCCAGTGTTAATGCCCTGTCCTGAGACATAAATATATAGATCATATAATAGAGTTGCATCTTATTAGTCAAGTCACATAATAAGATTGCGTCTGATTAGTTAATTCTTGTACCAGAAATCCTTAGGTACAAGTATAGGTACAGGTTTTTGTTTTTTTTTAAAGTTACTGTAGAGCAAAAAGGGTAGGTAATTACTTTTTTTTTAATCAATAAAAATTATACCTTTTTTTCAGATCTGCAAAAAATATATTTTTGGTATATTTTAGTAATATGCTGCATAATTTTAGTAATTAGTTTATTGTACCATGAAATGAAAAAGATTGAAAAACACTGATTGCTATACAGCTATTAAAAAGAAGTTATGTAGAGACTTCAGGTTTAATATTATGTGCTAATTAAGCACATGTATTCATATCATTCCCTTTCTGTGAAACCACTAAGATAACAGTAATGGATTTCTTTTAAAGGTTTAAATCCACAACACAAAAAAATAGAAAGAGGCCATTAATATACAGAAAATTCCTGTAGAACAAAAAGGAGACAGAATATTATTAATTAATGAAGGGGAAAAGCCAGCCTACAGAATAGAACTCCAAAGAAGCTCTTGACTTGGGCAGCAGGTACAATGGAACATAAGAGTAGGTCTGAAAATGTGTGATTTATTAAAGGTTTAATTATGGAAATCAAAGGTTTCCTATATCCTTCTATGTCTGCTACAAAATTAACAGATAAAATGAAAATATGAATGAATAAAATTAAGAAATGAATAAGTAAATAAAATAAAAATTAAGGTGGGGTCTTAAACTATTTAATAAACTATCTAATCAATTCTTATCTAAACTTTTTAATGAACTGTCTAATGTACTAATAAGAGTAGCTTGTGTGGATATCAGTACCCAATAATAGAGTCTTTTGGTCTATTTAGGATCCAACATAATAGCAGAAAGCTTCCTTCCAGTTAAAGTGAACTGGTCTTTTTGCTAGTGTGGTTGCTAAGTTCTGCCAGCATTCACAGACCTCCTGATCAACGTTCAAACTCCTTCCTCCCTTTTGTAACAATACAAATATATTAGAAGACATTACAAGAAATTTTTAAATAATTGCAAAATCAATGACAACAACCAAAGCAAACAAAAAAGGATCCTAGCAAGGAAGAGTGAGGAAATGGCAGTTGGGTAGGCAACAATATCTACCATTCAGAGTACAATGTGTTCAAGTATGCAGTGAACTACAATGCTCCTGGATTCTGAGCAATGGATGGAGAGTAAGGGGGAGAATTTTTGCAACTGGATACCAAGAACATTCTCTTTGAGTGCTGCAGTAGTCATAACAGGGATCCAAGAGAATTTTTTAAACATTAATTCGCTCGGCCATAAAAACTGTTTACACTTTACATATAATATAACATTTATAAACACTATTGCATTTTTTAACTTTTAGAATTAATATACAGATCAATAGTTGCACATTGATGGCTCTCAGGCAAAATTAGTTCTCCAGATGTGTTTTGTTTGGCTAATGACATTTTAAAATATTCATTGCACTGCTGTTAGTAATCACCACTCAATCAGTTCTCAAGTTTATATAAACAGAACCCTGAAGACATTAGAGTTTGTGTT